GCTCCACGTTCGATCCCAAATAGCAGGGAGCTTATTACGTTGAACGTGAGGTTCTTTATCGGAGGCTACACCTGGCATCGTTAAATACAACTTCAGATTAGACACTGTTTGGCTTTGCGAAATAAAAATTACTGGACTCCCTCAAATATACCGTGACCTGATTCTTGCCCTGCCAATGCAACTCAAGTTGCCTCCTCACTTCCTCATCAGTCTTCCCACCGTACTGCTTCAAACACTCCGGCTTCAAGAACGACACGAGGGCCCTCCTGACGCGCTTGTGGTCTTCTCCTCTGAGCTCCAGCAAATCCGCTCACCCAGAATCATCTTAATCGAGGTTGTCTGCTGGTTGGTGATGGTGTCGCCGTCGGCGTTGAAGACAAGCTTGTTGCGGCTTGACCGTAGATGAAGACTCTGGGCTTTCCGAACAGGCTCATCTTCGAGATGGGCCAGTAATTCCTTGCTCTGTCTTGGAGCCACGCCTCGGCTGTGTTGGCCCTCATGGCCCTAGCAGGCTCAGGCCCTGGCCCACGATAGGCAGGCCAAGTGACCCTGGTGGGAGGTTCTTTGGCAATCGTTTTCTGGTTAAAAGAAGGAAGAAGGGAATGAGAAGAAGGATGAGAGGGACGAAGAGATTCATGATGTATAGAGAGAGAGAGAGAGAGAGAGAGAGAGAGAGAGAGAGATAACAGTGTCAGCAGGAAAGGGAGTACTATAGCAGGGTTCAGGAAAAAATAAATTAATTAATTATTTTTAAAACTAAGGTCATATAATACGACGAATGAATGTATACCCACCTGGAGAATCAAGCATTGAAGGATCCGTCCATTCACAAGCTTGAACCAAAAAAAAAAAAGAAAAGAAAAAGAAGGCAGAAATTGCCTCATTCTGTTGGAAATCATTAAAAATATAATAATTTAATTTCATATTATATAAATTAGAGCTTACATCCGTGTGACGAGTAGGGAGAAAAAAAAAGAGGAGATAATACAAAAATATTATAAATAAAAATAACATGAAAATAGGAGGAGTTATCAAATTCGCATAATTAATGCTAATAAGAGTGTCATAAAATTGAGATAACAAATTCTACTTATATGAATAAAATTTTTTATTAATAAGATAATATTTATTAGTAAGATAAATGACAAAAATAATGACAAAATAATAAAATAAACTAAAAAAATAAAATTTATACCTCTTTTAGGATTGACCAATTAATTTCTTTTTAATAATTAATCGTCTCTTTTTTATGTATATATATAATATATATGGAAAGAAAATAATTTGTGCAAATATATTTCTTTCTAACAATTAATTCTATTTTTTTCACACATGTATATGTATATATAAAATAAAAGAAAAATGATGATATATAGATCAAATGCTTGAAAAGATGATATCTGAAATTTTTTTTTATAAATCGGTTTTGTAACAGTAAAAGGTATCATTTGGAATGCTTATTTGTGATAAACAGTGAGAGACTCTATAATTTATTCATAGTTTGTTTGCAGGCAGAGACATGGGGTTATTGGGACTGCTTTGCGCATCAGCATCACTGGAGTCAAACATCAGATCAGACAAGAAGAAAGGAAGAACCATTTGAATGGAGATGACGGAAGATCCGGACTTCCCCTGAAATTTTTGATACCACCACAAACAGACAAGTACATGACCTGTAGCTTGATTTGCTTCTACGACTAGAACCATAGCTACATGAAGATTGGAAATTATGCCATCGAAAGGAAACTGCACAACATCTGACCAAGTGCTCTCTCACATGATACCTGTGAATTCTAACTTTTCTTCATCTCTAAAATCATTAAATTAGGACTTGAGTCAGAGAATTAAAGAGCTCTTACAAAAAACCAAATTCCTTACCTTACGTACCAAATACCAAGTTTCATTTTAAATCTTTCTATTTAGACGGTGACTGTAAAAATTTGATTTGATTGTGAATAACTTTGTAATTACGATTTGAATTAAAACTTTTTGAGTTATATTAGATGTGAAAAATTGTTTGGATGATGACATTTTTCACTGATATGTTTTGTCAAAATTACTTAGACAGTGTTGACCTGATTCTTCAAACTAGGTTAGGTTACTATCATTTGGCGAACTAAATAGCTATTGTCTGGCAGCCTGCTGCCGGTCGGTTAGTTTTCATCAGCAAATTCTAGCGCTAGGGCAGCAAGTCATTGCACAAAAACTCCACTGGTCGGATTCTTGCAACCAACATTGCCGACCAACCATCCCCGGTGACTTCTAATCAACCGTCATTGTCTGCCAATCCTTTATTCAAACAATCGTAAAGCACTAAACTCGATAGTTGTCCACCAATGCTACCAGCGATGACTGAAGATTGCCGGCAATGGATCGGCAAGCACCGCTGGCCAACATTGTCAAAGGTGGCGTTATGGCTAGCTGGCAACATTGGTCATTGGTGATGGCTAATGGTGGGTGTTGGTCCAAGTTTTGAATCATGACAGCAAAATAGATTTGAAAGCTGACTCTAAATTTTTGGGATTTTGAAGTCAATTGACTACAATCACATGACTTCAATCCTGAGCCAAACAAACAAGTTTTCTGAAATTTGACTATAACTCAGAGTCACGAACTCCAGTTAGACAACTTCATTCAATATACAACAATGCTCTTCTGTTGATACCCGCATCATCCCAAGTGAAACAATGGATTTTCTTGATCATGGTACATTGTGATATTAGCATTGGAGCAACACAAAACAAGAATCACCTTCACTCGGTCTTCTGGGGTATATGATTTCCACCAGTGGCAATCTTGTAAAGATAAAATCCAGTCATCAGGGCACTGCCAGGACAATTAGACATGAGGTAGTTGAGAAGCTCTGTAGTTCATTAGAACCCAACAATAACTTTCACATGTAAGATTGCATTTTTCAGAAGAACAGATGTTTTTACATAGCAAAAAGCAAAAACAAATAATATTTGAGCATATTATCTAGTGGACAAAGAGAGCCATAAACTTATGACATAATTCCTCTGAAAGGTTATTGACTATGTAACTTTAAGCTTCAATATCATTTTTCAGTGACTCAAAGCTTTGAAGTTTATTCACTGCAACCTGTGACTTTATGCAATTTCTCCTTTAAAAGAACAGCCTCAAACAAAAGTTAAGTGGCTAAGAAATCTATAAATTTCAGGAACCAGCTATAGACAAACCCCATACATGGTAAATTACTAAGCCTGGCAGTGCAAACTAGTGGCATATATACTTCATGAGCACACAAATGGGCATGTTTTCCCTTTAGTTACCTGATCCCAGCAACAACACCAGCTGGCATTATTTTTGAGGTCTGAGTGTAGCGCTGTCCCATGATCCATGTGAGCATTGCAGCACAAACTGAACGAGTTACATGGATTAGTACAAATAGCAAATACAAACTGATGAAGATTTCTGTGAGAAGAGCTAAACTACCAGTTGTGTGAATTTGAAAAGGAATATCAGAATAAGCACATTATCAAACAAATAAAATGTTAAGGTTCTTCACCTGCATCTTATACAATAATAATATGTATGATAATCACTAAAAATTTTGCTAGTTAGAAGCGAACCTGCAATGCTTTTTAGTCAATTGGTAATTAAAAATATCTAAACAAGAATCAAAGCCATCCCTCTTTAAGACAATATAAGCAATGTGAATATATTTACCCTTATGGATCCTACATGCTTAAATCAAGACTTCTTAAGAATGCAGGCAATAACCCCTCTACGCAAGGCTAAGGGGCCAGAAAGTATGCAATCCCAGTCACTGATACCAATACACCAACCCTCAGTTTTTTGACAGAAAAATAAAATAAAATGGGACAGATGTGGAGGTGTAAATCATATTGCACTATATTCAATCTACATGTTTTGCTAACAAAAAACTATAAGAAGCTTCAAACTTCAAAATATAGAAGTTTAGTCAACTACTCTTCATACATCCTTTATAGATAAAAGTCAGCAAGCAAGACAAGCTATTTGAAAGATAAAATTTTTTTGATAGAATTGCTCAAACAAAAGGTAAAATAATAAGTTCCATACAGGATGACATTCGGGAAAGATTGGACAGTATCAACCAGCTCGTAATACATACATTGTATATTAATATTCTAGACAGTGTAAGAAGTAGATAAATATCCGGCCCAAATTTATGGAGTCATTGATAGACGAAAGTAATACTAATGAATGGTTGAATTCCTAAATTTTCTTACTTTATGAAATAGTTTTACTTGTGCGCAAAGATCTTTCACAACAACTACAAATGTTTAAATATGAATTTGAATAACTCATCACATAAAACTTTGCACTTCAGGAACACAAATAATCTATACTAGAATATGCAGAAAAATTAGATTAATAAAGCCAAGCAGTTTACATTGGTCACAGCATAATCAACTTCTCATGAATGATGTAGAAACCAAATCCTAGAACATCATCTTCTTCTACAATCTGAATTTCGAAACTAAATTCAAGTTAACTATAGTTTAAACGAACAGAAGGCATATGGTGATATGCCTCTTTAGTATAACTGAATACCGACTTTCCAACAAAGGGGAAGGCAGATATTGTCCACATAGCTGGTAACACAAGTAAGGGGGAAAAAGACTTATTTAAGTTGATTTTTTCTAGACAATCTAAGCAAGCAGAGTATCACATCTGGGATTAATAAGGCACATGCCAAACACTACCCAGCCGTATGGTGAAAAATTTCTCTAGTTACATCATAGGCTTAAAAAAAAAACTCATATTCCATAAGAAAGCAGAGGATTCGAGTTGTGACAGAGTTACCTGTTTCCAAAATCAAGGCAAGATAGGAGTTCTTCCTTTTGCCAAAGGCCTTGAGACTCAGATACCCGCTAGGACGAGCAACAACCCGGTGCCTACACCTCCAGCAAGGAAGCTGGGCTTCCCTTACTCGCAAACCCAACAACTCCCCCAAAAACCAGGAGCAACCCATATGGGATCGTGAAGCAGAAATCATGCATTTTGTCGAGATGGGTCCTCCCGAAATCGAGATCTTGAAGATTTGTGTTAGGGTTATTCAGGGTTTAAAAGAAGACGGAGGATTTCCCAGAAGACTCCACTTCGAATCGCTTGTTGGCCGAGATGGGTCCAGCGGAAGCTTCGAGTTTCAGGTTTAAACTGCGTATTGCGATGGATGAATTGGCCGCTTGCCAAAGTTGCTTGTGTCCACCTCACTCTCCCTTTCCCAATGGTGGCCTAGATGACCCTGCACATGCTGACGCTGATAGTCACTGACAACGACAACGGTAGGATTATGTGTTAAGCCTTTATGCATAATAATTTAAGACAAGACGCATGTGCATTTTTTATGCTTGACAATGGGCGGTAAACTTGACCTGGGCGGGGCATTAGCAAAAGGGGAGATAAAGGATTATTATTTTTTCACCCATTAATTAAAAGAAAATGAATAAATTACATTTACAGGGAGTAAATAGATTAATGTCAAGAGAGTGGAGAGGATAACAGCTCTTTGCTAAAAAATTGGAACTCTTGTCACCATCTTCTCCCTTTCAATCAAAATATTACATAATATAGATTGAAAATTTATATGATTGCTTTATTTGTTTGACATAAAAACGTAACTGTGGGTTTGACAGATATCAGTTGATTATGCACGGCAGACTCTGTTTTCATCATTGTCAGCATGATTTCTTGGCTTTTCTTTTTAGTTTTTTGACATTTCGAGCTAATATTATGGCTGCATTACTGTTTACCGCTTAGGATCAGGAAAAAAATTAATTATTTAGAGTTATCCTAATTATAAGGAATTAGTTTTTAAAAGTAAAATTATAAAAATTTAGATTTGTCAAATATAAGAAATAATTTCCTCTAATTTATAGATACACAGGTTGGCTTTAATACAAGTATGAAATTTTATTTGAGTAACTTCTCCTGTAGGAAAAAAATTACTCAAAAAAACGAAAAACAGAAATTCCTATGAATTTATTGTTAATTAATTTTTTTATAGGTGACTAAATTTATTTTGTCAGATTTATAAGAAGATCTGGCCAAGATACTTTACCACCCAAACATTGGTTGGTGAATCCAATTGAACTGATGAAGCTCTCAAATTCTGGCTGTTTCTCTCCTTTAGAATTCTCATGTCCTTGACCCAAAACAAGACCCGAACGTTCCTCTCATTTCTCGAGTTTCTCAGTCGCCAAACAAGATTCAAACTTTCTCAAACCCTAAACCCAGCTTCGAAAATGGTTGTCGAGCCTCCTCCAGAAGACCCACATGCCCTTCGTGCTCCAAACCCTCTTGTCTCTGCCTATGCTCCCGTATCAAAACCCCTATTCTCAATAACTCGGTTCGGGTCACCATTCTCCAGCACAGCCTCGAGCAAAAGCACCCGCTCAATTCCACCCGAATCGCGACTTTAGGGCTCAAAAATCTCTGCGTCGTCACAGTTTCTGACGTGAATTTCGAAGCCCAATTCGCCATTCAACCCCTCCAATCGGGTCCTGGGTCTGGCGAGAGGAGTTCCAGTTCATGTGAATGTCGGAGCCATTCGAAAGCCTTGGGTTTTGATCAGGCTTCTGATGAAGAAAGAACCCAGAATCAAGTACTCGATAAAATTGATGCGTCTACTTCGGAAAGTGGAATCGTTGCCCAAACTTGTTCCAAATCGGGTGAAGCAATGTTGGATGAAAAAGATGAAGTTGGCCACAACCGCAAGCGAATTCGATTGGGGACTGATCCTCTGACGGCTTTTACCCTTCAGAAACAAGGTGTCATAAGCTCCCTTCTGCATCATGGGATTCCCGAAACTCGACCCCAGGACAATAATTTCGATCTTTTTCTAGGCTCTCCATCACGCCTAGACGAATTGGCAGAAGGGTTTATGGTCAAGAAGTGGCATAGCAGGCCATTGCAGGTAGATCACGACACTAGTTTGCTAAATCACCGTTTGACACGAGCGTGGCTGTCTGGTTTGGGACTATTTTGTTACAATAGATTGTGTATTTGGTTACTCAAGGGATATCCTGCCTTTTTAATTTGGCATTTTGTTGCCTAAAATGAATCCATAAATGGGAGACCATAGGAGCCCTTTTATCAAAAAAAGGAAGCCATGATTTGAGGATTTTTTTGGGACTTTTGAAACAGTTGAAATTTTCTTGGGCGAAACGAACCATCCAAAAAGAGCCTAATTCTTCCAAAAAGGTTGGCCTTTTTCATCCAAACAAACACTCACACGATTGAGTTTGTAAAATTTTTAATGAATTCGAGATGAATTGAGATAGACTGTGATAAATAAACATGAACTACTTGCAGGGAAGCGCCAGAAGCGAGGAGCATGAAGAGTTCGAGCTCGAAGTCCCTCCTGGATCAGCCCTTCTCTTCCCGAGCGAACAAGCAGTTAGCATTGATGCCATAAATGAAGTGAAGAACTTGATTGTTTTGGACGGAACGTGGGCGAAGGCGAAGAGGATGTACAAAGAGAACCCGTGGTTGAAGCTCTTACCTCACGTGAAGCTGGAGGGAAAGAACACGAGCTTATACAGCGAAGTAAGGCAGCAGCCAAGAGCTGGGTGTTTGTCCACCATAGAAAGCATTGTCTATGCTCTCAAGGCTGTGAGCGATGAGAGTGACACTGACAAGTTGGACAGCCTCTTGGAGGTTTTTGAGTCTATGGTGGGGGATCAGAGAAGGTGCAAAAATGAAAGGTTGAACAAAATCTCTTCGGTGTGAGCCTATACCAAAGCCAGCTTTCATTCAATTTTCATTAAAGGGCTGAGTTTAACATCATGATTCTTCAATTTTTTATATGAAGTTTCAATAGAAAGATCTGATTAGTTGTAATTAGCTGTACTTTTTGCAACTTTAAAATGGGCAAGATGTAGTCAATCGGATGTATGTGGAAGAATGTTTTGTTGAATTGATTGGGTCGAGATCTTCATGCGTAACTGGGTAGAAATGTCAAGGTTTTTATGCTTTTGGGTATGATTTGGTGAATAAAGCTTTTTGTTCATTTCAGTTAATAAGAGAAGCACAAGAACATGCTTCATGCAAATTTTGTACATTTTTTAATTTTACGAAAAATATAAAATTAGTGGGCTCTCTTCTCGTAAATTATGAAAAAAAAAAAGAATTGCAATAATTTGCAAGAAAGGGAAAAGTTTTTTTTTTTTTGAAGGAGAGAGGAAAGTGAATTGACGCTGTAAAAAATATGTATGTAAATTTTTGACGGATATTTTTGCCATTATAAAGTATTAGACTATGTTGGGTAACTATTTTCTAAGTAGAAAGGAAAGCAAAGGAAAGGAAAAAAAATGTACATTGCCCTCTGTTTGGTATCAAATTTGTGATAGAATGGAAAGGATATAAACGAAATAAACTTTTGTAGGCCCTGCAATTTTGTCGTTCGTTCTCCAAGTGACAAATTGGGTAGAAGATGAAGCTTGCTTGTGTCACGGCTAACATATGGAGGATTGTCCACGTTGAGGGAGAGCCCTATGGGTCGTCTAGGTTGGAGAAGCGCTACAAAAATTGCTACAAGTCTCTGCTGTTTCTCTGCTGCGAAACGGAGCACCATGACTGTAGGAGCAAAAGCTTTCTCACTCATTGGTGGACAACAACCATGAAATTTCAAAGTCAACGGTGATTGACGATGATTGCTTTACACAACTTCTAATTCCCTGTGGACGGATCGACACTCACTGCGACGGATTTTCTTAACGACGGTTCCACTTTTCTCCTCATGTAGCTTCCACGCCGGCGTCTATGTCGGCTTTCTGTCTCGACTCTTTCCCTTTTGATTCTCCTTCCGCCTCTGAATTTTTGACTACTCTCTCACAACCAATACTGCCAAGTTTTCCTCTGTTGGCTATTTGCATGTTGACCCTTCTAGTTTCTTCTCCATGTCAATCTAATCCTCTTCTATTCCAAATTTTCAAACCATTTTTTTATTTTAAATTTTTTATTTGAACCTTTGCCAAAAATTTTAATATTTTAATTATCTTCAATTGAGTACTCGTAACATTTTTTTTACATATATTTTTATTTTTTCATACAAAACCAAATAAATAAATAAAATATTATTATTTTTTATTAAATAATGTCAAATAAAAGAAAGAAAACATTAATTTTCCTTTTTTTTTTTTTTTTTTTTTACAAAGTATCCTTTTTTTTTTTCTCCCCACTGATTACAAACATAGCCTCCGGGATAAGTGAACAATGCTACAGCAATAATTCTCCGATGCAGGCCCTTCCTGATCGTTGCTTCACTGAGTCTGAAAGAAACTGCGAAAGAGAGGGTTCACTTCTGCCTAATGCTAAAGCTGTTTTCATGGCGTCGTTCAGCACCTCAAACCCTAAACCTGTACTCAAGCACCTTCTTTCACAAATCCCTCTCCCCTATCACACTTATCTCTCGATTTCTGACTCAACAACAACCCCTACCCGAAGACCCCTACGACCCTCCATTCTCACCTACCACGAAACCCCTAAAACCTAGTAAGCAGAAGGGCAGGAACAAGAAAAAGAAGCAGAAGAAGAGCCAAAACGAATCTTCAACCGATTCCGAAGAAGGTAAGAGCTTTCCCCTCATGTCCGATTTGCCCTTTGATTTCAGATACTCCTACTCTGAGACCAACCATCAATTGAGCCCATCGGGTTTCGCGAACCGCCGCGGTTCTCTCCTTTTGGTCCCGGAAGGCTCGACCGCAAATGGACCGGCACCTGTGCTCCCGCAGATCAGGCTGGTGACTTGGAGAAGATTGCAGAGCAGCGAAGCGCGGTTCTCGGAGAACCGCTCTCGGAGGAGGAAATTTCGGAGCTTGTGGAGCGATATCGTCACAGTGATTGTTCTCGGCAGATTAATTTGGGTACTTCCCCCCGTCCTCCACCCGCAACTTCCCCTCTCTCTTCCCCCTCTCTCTATGTACGTATATATGCTAATCTGTTTGAATGCATGTCCTCTGTGTTTTATTGTCGTTCGATTTCTGGGCTGGTGTGTTCTTGATTTTCATTAGTGACCAATAAGAATCGGGTTGAGGGATTATGCCATTATCTATCTGATTAGACATGTGAAAACGGATGGGTATTTCCAAAAATTCGTATCATATAATTGGTTAATCTAATATAAAATTTTGAGATTATGTTTAGATTAGTAGTTATCAACTTCTTCTGCAATCCATTTTTCAATTCAACTTAACCAGCCATACTCTAGTACAGGGATTTGCTCATGGGATTTGTAAAATCCACAAATAGCATATGAAAGATTAATTTGCATTGCTCATTCATTTTGTTTTAAGTTGGTTTTTCCAGTGTAGGTTTGAGAAGGCCTCACTTTGAAAATTATGGTTTGGTTTCACTCTGTTTTCTCAAACTGTTTAAATTTCAAATCCTCTCTTTGACAGAACAAAAATGCATACACTACTAAAGGTCCTCGATAACATGTAGTTGTGTACCCTTTATTTAGGAAAATCAATGCTGCTTTGGTGCTTGTAATTGTTCAACATTGCTTTTCTGTAGTTGGACTAGGAAGATGAAAATGTTGTTGGATAAGTCTTTGAACTTGGGCCTTTAACAGTTGCAACTTGCATTTAACTAGTGATTTATACTTACAACATGGTAGGAAGGGGGGTGTTACTCACAACATGATTGACGATATCCACAATCACTGGAAGAGGGCTGAAGCTGTGAGGATCAAGTGCTTGGGGGTGCCAACTCTTGACATGGACAACGTTTGTTTCCACCTAGAGGTAGGAACTCCAATGTGATTTCTGTCTGAACTCAGAGACATGATCTCTTGTATTGAATTCTAGAATATGTGAGTTGAAGCTTTAGTAGTGGGTCTGTAGGACAAATCTGGTGGGAAGATCATATACCGCCACATAAATATCCTCCTTTTATATCGTGGAAGAAACTATGACCCCAAGAAGAGATCTATCATTCCGATTGATGCTGTGGAAACCACATGCACCTATTTATCCCAGACTTGTGAAAAATGTTGCTGATGGCCTCACATTTGAAGAAACAAAAGAAATGAGAAACAGAGGACTGCTTTTGCCTCCTTTAATGAAACTTAGTACGTGAACTCAATTTCTGGAGGATCGATGTTTGATGTTTTCGTTTTTTCCGTAACAGTATTAATAATTTCTGGATGCTTGATTGAGCTGGAAGTGGATGCTCATTCTTGCTCTTCTATGTCTGTAGGCAGGAACGGTGTTTATGTGAACGTGGTGGAGAGAGTGAGGGAAGCATTTCAGACTGAACAAGTTATACGGCTAGATTGCAGTTATATGGGCACAAGTGACTGCAAGAAAATAGGTGTAAAATTAAGGGTATGATTTTTTACTCAAATCAGATGCCAAGTCCTTGTATGCTTTTCTTGGCATGGCATTCATATTCTGAACCATGAGTTATCGATCACCACAACCTAATTCCTTTGAAGTCTTTTCTTGATGCAGGAGTTGGTACCTTGTGTCCCTATCTTGTTCAAAGATGAACAGATAATACTTTGGAGGGGAAAGAAAGGTTTGAAGAGGACTCCTGTGTGGACGCACAAACCAGAATTATGACAGTGTGATAAGGTATTAGGACGTCGTTCAGGTTTTGATATCAGCTAAGACAGATTTGAGATGTGTAATTTGCAGTGTTCACAGAATTTTAGTGGGTGCTAGTGTCTACTAAAACATTTTTGTACGCAAACTTCTTGCGGGAGCCTTTGGCTAGTCCATGCGATTGCTACCGCTTATGGTTCATATGGCTGACAGTTGCCTTCCGAATCTCCACAACCTTGATACTTTTGTTGCACAAGGTTTGATACTTCAATTCAATTCGACAAAATGAGGATTCTCTTTAGGTTCGGGCTTGGGGTTTTAGCATATATATATTCCTTGCTGAAAGGGAATTCTGGAATTTATTATAACCTGTATTTCCTTGCAATCAAGTGGAGGAGAATAAGAATGCGCAATTTTGGACCCTGCAATCCAAGTTCAATTTAGTTTGATTTTGCTTTGTTCCTTTTTTCTTTTTATTCCCCCTCTTGGGAAGAAGAAGAAGAGATGAGCCTGACAAATGTAAAAAACGAACTCAGAGATGTCCTTAATTTTTTTTTTTTTAATGAAACTGCTAACATGTTAATGGATTTCTATTTTCTTGGTAGCCCTTCAAATATATTCCTTGATGGATTGTTTTATGAAATTAAATTCTTGATCAGGTTGCAAGTGGTCATGGAGTACTATAAGTGCTAAGAGTGTCAGGCACGTTAAGTCTGGAGGATTCAACGGAGTGGCTCTTATCTCTTGCAACTTGTAGACATTTAAACCTACAACTTAACGCACGTGAAATTTAAAGAACCACTGCCAAGCTGGACATATTTTAGAAATTAAAATCATTTTATAATTTATACGCAATCAGGGAGGAGAATAATGCACATAGTAAGCAGTAGAGAAAAAAGATACAAAAAAAAACTGCTAGAGACTGACGTATATAAGCTGCAACCAAAGTACATCATAATGGCTATTTAACATAACAATGTCAGCCTTCCCCTGAATTAAAACGATGACAAGCAAGATTAGACTTCACCTGCAACCCGTAGAGTGCCCACGGCAAAGCAAAGATGACACGATATGTTGCTTTACTACATATTTACATTTGCTAGGGACAAAGCACAACAAATTCATTTACATATGTAACTCTTCAATTACTGGCTTCAAATAGCCGTTACCATTTTGCTTAGTTCCAGGCCCTTATCAGCAAGGCATCCTGAATTGACCAAAGAGGTTATCCAGACTTGATCAGATCTCACCGATTCATCATCATCATTCCGATGCCAACTCCAGAAAGCATGAGTTGAATTCACTATCTTGAGCTCTCCGTGACCAAAGCTGGCTTCCCGGAAAATGGACCACTCCGGTTGGGGATGTAAATATCTAACAGTTCATTTTTAGGGTTTGAAAAAATTAGGCCTTGCCTTAATATTTTAAGAATACACAAATAGGGAATAAATAACGACAACCAGGATTGACAATGTGCTACAAATTCTTGCCTTAACAAAGGCCTCTATTATTTTCATGCAAGCCAAGATAATAAATTTCTAATTTGACTAAGCAAAAAGTAGGAATTCATACTCACAGCAGCAATATGTTTTTTCAAGACATCAGAAAGTTAAAGCACAAAAAGAAATTATATACATCACAGCACTATGTTTCCCCAAGGAAATTGGATATTCTAAAAAATTATTTCATGCAAAGTAATTGCTGAATATGTCAAACCCAAATGAGAAGTTAGTGCCAAGATTTTAAGGGGGTTCAAACTTCAAATATGATCTTATTTTGTCACTTAACCTGGGTAATACTATTAGAGAGGGTTTGACAAAGGTCTTACCTGTGTGCTAGACCTTCTCTGTTTCCTCCATCACCAATTGTTATGTGGACAGCGCCACAGGGATCTGATCTACCTCCATAGACACGCTTCTGTTCAAGAATAATGAGAGAAATAAGTGAAGCACCAGCAAATTGAAGATCATCAGAAGAGCCAACAATATGTTAGCTTACCGTGCGTTCATAAGCATGTACATGGCCAGCGATCACAACATCCACACCAGCAGCATATAGCAATGGTTCCATAGCTGTCATCATGCTATTCCCTTCACCTCGATGAGCCTTATTACTGTTATACCATGGAACATGGAATGAAACAACAACCCAAGGGGTCCTCCTCCGGTCAACTTTCAAAAGATCAGCCTACAATTCATTGAAAAAGATACTTCTGTTAAAGAATTAAGGAAAGAAATGTATGGCATCAGGATACATAACAGCTGTAAAAGTCTAAACTGCCCTTCACTTCTTGTGGAAAAATCACGGAAGGTAAGGGAACTTAGAAGCAGAATAGATGGATACCATTGTTATTTATTTATTATGACTTTTGTCAAATGCATCTAAACAATCTAAAGAATTTGAACTCTACAGCCCTTCCTCTTTGGGGTGGAATTGATATGATTCATGCAAACAAGTGGTAGTTAAGCACCAAAAGTAATGCTCATAAGAAGACCAAACTTATTGCCCAAAATCCACCACCACTTAAGTTTACGCATACAAGAAAGAGTGAAATAAAGTGCTGTACGCACATTTCAAGGATCACATTATATATAAAAGGTTATCTTTCAAATAGAAGTACCAGTTTTCTTAGATCCATGTAAAAATATATATTATTAAAACACTATTGGAAGTGATAGTTTACAAGAAAACCTAGCATTTGATTACATGCATATATTTATTTGGTCTTTGCTAAGTTCTATGATAATCAGTTTTAGCAAAACTAGATAAGAAAGAGACAGACCGATAGCATTATTTAAAAACAGGATTAGGTTACAACTAACCTTCAGCCAGATATATTGATCAGATTGTTCATCATACTCTGTATATGAACCAAGCATGATAAGATGCACCCCGAAACATCAAAAGAATAATAAAGATTTGAAGTTGATCCACTCTCTTTAAATGGCATCTTCCATCTAGCATTGTATGAAACGAAGCTGTCCTCAAATAGCATTATACCCTCCTTTTCATGGTTTCCTTGAGTTACCATCCAGGGCTTGCACTTGCAAGTGGCTGCACTAGCTCACCAAATGTGTCCCATCGCGATTGGATGCGATCAGCGTATGAAAGATCTCCAGGGAGCAGATATACATCATAACGGCATAGGTCTATGTGGTCAAGGGTTGACTTAGTCCAGCCAGTCTGACCCAAATCACCAGCCACAGCAAAAGTAACTGGAAATTGAGATGGGGGAGTCTTGAGGCTGAATTCTGGCCCTTGTCCTCCACAACGGTAGTAGTAAATGGTATCATGCTTCAGAGGTCCGATTACAGTGTGGTGTATTTTTCCTGAGTTATACAGTAGATAACCATAAGAGGTGCTCTCACCTTGAGCACTATCGCTGTATTTCCCTCGTGAAGTTCCATATTCAACAATAGAGGGAGAAGATTTATTATCTGTTATCCATGTGATTCGCATATGCCCTTTCCTGCCAAGGAGATGTGCACCTGCAATATCCATTTCGTGCAACAAAGTTTAGAAAAAACACTACAAAGGAAAGCAAGTAATGAGTGGACTTTGCAGAAACAACCAAATCAACTACGCTCCGGGTGACTTCAACTTCCATAGCAAATCGGCAGAGAACATGGACAAATTCACTTTTCAAATGCACATAATGAGACGGATAATTCTTTCTAACGCAAAAGAAAGCATGGATGTGAAAACTAAGCAAGTAAAACCCACAGCCTAAAGATGTCCAATAATTGCAGAGATTAGGAGATAAAATAAACACGAGTGCGGAGCAAAGCTAGCATTTGAATCAAAATTTTCAACACCGTAGCACTTCTTTTCTGATAAGCCAAAAAAATTGTTCACATACAATACAATCTTCAACTTTTCAGCTTAGCCATATTCAGTACCCAAAAACAGCCTTCTATCTGTAAACCCAGTCCGATTCAGTAATTTTAGATAAACAGCCGCTGCAGTTCATGCTCAAGTCAACAGAGAGAACGGCTTCACTTGCTATGGCTTTTAAAGCATATTTTCATTTTTTTTTTCTTTTTATGGGGGGAAGAAGTGAAATATACCTATAATTCTTTCAAACTTTAAACATCATACACCAACTGTACTGGTTGGACCAACCGTCATAACATCAAAATGTTCGATTCCAAAGCGATCATTTATCAACCTCACCGAAATTAGGACCTTCCTCCGCGAATTAAGAGAATCTATTAGTCTCCACAATTTTCCAGGGAACTAAACGGACGCGTGGGAAATCAAAATGCGACACCCAATGGGTTCGCCGTGCCTGTTAAACATGACGATCGAACAGGGAAAGTTGCAAAGGGGGTTTACCTGCTGAGGACGAGAGGGGTGCTTGGGATTCCATGGAAATCGTAGGTTTTTCCGAGGCTCTGGCCGGACGTAATCGGCAGTGACAGTCGAACTGAGGATCAGAAAGGCTATCAGTGAAGCATACCTCAGCTCCATGGTTAGCTGCGGCTCAGTTACGGAAGGTGGAAAGGGGACAGGAGGAGATTGTCTTACTCTGTGTCCTTTTTTTTAGAAAAAAAAATTTGTTATCTTTCATAAAGTCAAATCACCTCTGTTTGGATACGAGACTGCACCAAACCGCGCGATAATAGAAGGGAAAATAGCATGTTGGTTACAAAAAATGTAAAAAAAATAATTAATTAAATTTAATATTTTATCTTATAATCGTAAGGACTTGTTTGATTTAAATTTGAAAAAAATCAAAATTTTCAAAAATTGAAGGACCCTTATTTAATGGGGTTTAAAAAATTTGAGTTTTTCCAATTTCATAATTAATTTTTTAGTTCAACATAGAATTATTATTCTCTTTTTTTATTTTTAAGGCTAAAATTTGTTTTTCTTTAAAAAAAAAAAAATTACCTAAGAAAGTAAGTTCACGAAGACTTGATTTTTAATCTCCAAATTCACTTCAAACCTCTATTTAAATTCACTTTTATTTTAATAAATTTTCAATCTTTTACATATTAGAAATATAATTTTCTTTCTTTATGACATTTATAAATCTTGATTTTGAATTTTTATGTGTGTCTTAAAACCTAAAATATTTTTTCAAAAAATATAAATATAAATATAAATCTAAAATACTGGTAGCAAACACCCTCTAATACAACTAATTATTAAAAAAAAAAAGAAGTTATGTATAAATCATATGTCTAGTCTTACATCTTTGTCACCGTCATTGCTTTGTCATAAAACAATTATTTAAGAAAAATTCTATGGTGTTCTCCCGGTGCCCACCTCTCCTATAAGGGGTGGGCCCCACTACTGAGGCCTCCTACATTGTAAAGGAGCTCCACTATCGAGTCTCTCATTTGTACTAGTGCTCTCTCTTTTAGGAGGCACCGAGTGTTCACCATTATTTAATATTTTTTCTCTTTCTCTATGCATTTAGTTAGGTATACTAAAATAAATAAATAAATAATCTGAGGTGGTTCTCGTCATTTCATTTTGTGTCTAGAACAATTATTTGGATCGAATAAAAAATCGATTTATTTAATTTATTGGATGAAAAATCATAACATTTATTACAACTACGTCAAATTTGGTACACGATGCAACGGTTGCAAAGGCAACTACTCACCGAAAAAAAGACCGCCCCAGAATCTCGGTCGGATTGGTGGGCAATCAGTCGCCGACCACTTCAACCTCCGACCTTGATTTCTGTCCGCCCGGCCTGCGCTGGGCTTATCTCCCTACCATCGATCGCCCCTCCAACGAGTTGGTCCTCATCACCAACTGATCTTTACAATCCACGCTCCCTTTTATCGCAGCGGCCTAATATCCTTTCGATTTGCTGGAGTGAAGGAAAGGTTCAGGGCTAGTATAAGGTTTGGGTTTGGGTTTTGTACGAAGATGATGCAACCAGAAGCAGGTGTTTCAGCAGCAGCAGCCGCAACCACCGCTGCAGTGCATGATGTTGCCGCCGCCGGCGCCGCAGCAGCAAACAGCCGCAGGCCTTTCAGCGGTCTCCGCCGGTCTGGTCACAGCAGCCTTCGCCGCTGCATCTTCGTAGTATTTTATTTAACTGCACATAGGCATGTTTCTCTACTTTTGGATTTGTTCAGGCTCAGCCAGATAAAGCTCAATGGAATGGAGGATATTATGGGTATATGCTCAAGGTCATGAGGCATATGGATATGCACCCCCTCCAAGATCCTAACATATTACGGGGCTTATCCAGGCTACGGGAATTATCAATGACTGCAGCAGGTAAATGATGTCATATGCTTTGGTCATGTTAATAATTTAGATGGTGTCGACTTGTGAAGAGGGACATCAACATGGTTGCTTTCTTTGGAGGTTAATTTACTTGATTTGTAGAAAGCTATTCTGAAATAGCGTTAATTGACTTGGTGGAAACTTGAAGGTGCACAGAACTGATATGTTTGAAGGATAACTAGCCTTCTTGTTGCTTGTAGTAGTAATTTAAGATATGAACCGCATGGATGAGTTTAAAGTTCATTTACAGTGACTGCCAGCTCGTAACCTGTTTACATTGTGATCAAGTAGCTATGAAGTCTTCCTGATTGAAAGACATTTGTAGTCTCCGGTATCCTGTGTAACTTCTGTATGTAGATTAATTTATACTACCGTTGCAACTCCTCCGAACAAAGAAGCAAACAAAACTAGGTAAGAGATAGAACAACCATATTTATCGAGGAAAATTTTGGTGAACCTTCGTCTGAAAATTCTTGTATTGTGTATTGGGTATTTGATTTGTTTGTTTAGCTTGTGTAATATCTCTTTAATGTTGTGATTAGGACATTCCTATATGTTGACTTTTGCAGTGATTTTTTGCCACCTACAAGGAAAGCTGAAGAGCTATGGCCCTCTGTTCACTTTGCCTCTTTCTCATTGTTAGCTCCAGTGACTTATATACGCGAAACTGGAGCTTGGAGGTCCTTGGTAGAGTGAGAGCGCTGAAGAATATCAAGAATCTCATCTTAGCCGTTTGCTATTTTCTTGGATTACCATTTTTGTTTTTATTTGTGAATCGAGTGTGTTGGGTTTTATTACGTAAAATTGGAGTATAATTCTACTATATGTGAACATTGAAATATGATGATGACGACTTGGGTCAGTTGTTGAAAGGCTTGAAATTTTATGGATACGAGAACATTGAAATATAACGATGGTCAGTTGTTGAGAGATCTAAAATTTTGTGAATATAGCATAAATCAGTGCGTGGTGTACATACCTTTTCATGTTGGATAAAAATTTTGTTTTTTTCATACTAGGTGCCTCACTTAGGTGAAAATGAAGTGGAAAAGAGTTAAGCTGAGAAAAGTTAATGTTAGTTTAAGCTCGTATTATTTAAATTTAATTTACTTCATAGTTTAATTCATTTTTTTAGTAAGTTTTTAAATTTAAGTTTAGATTCAACTTATATTAAATTTAAAAGTAATTCAGTTCGATTCATTAATTTATATATATTAAAAATTAAAAATTAGATGATTTAAATATTTTATTTAAATAATACTAATAAACAATAAGTGATATTTATAAATATATACTATTTTTAACTGTAATTTGAATTGATATCAAACTAAACTATTGTGTATAAAGAATAGAAGTAACTTGTCAACTTCCATAAAACCATTGTGTATAAAGAATAAGAGTAACTTGCCAACTACTATTAACAAATAATTTAATTTCATAAAGAAAGCTTTCAAAATTACAAAAAGTAAAAAACTGAACAACCAGCAACATTGTTCTAGAAGTTTTCATTTGGTGCAAAATTAACAAAATGAGCTCTCTCTCTCTCTCCCCGCACATGTGCGTGGACACACACGTATATAAAATTAGTTTATAAATCAATTGAATTAAATATACTTTAATTTAAATTCAAATCATATTTTATAGATAAACTTAGTGTCAAGTGTGCACCCACTTTAGGATATCACATCTAATATCTACCAAATACACAGAGAAATAAATGTATGGAATCACTTCCACGTATACATCCAACTATTACTACGCGTATTGTTCTACTAAGCGCACGCTTAGTATTAAATAAACTTATTTTATATAGGTCAAAAAATCTAACTCAGAATATTTATCTACTTCACGGACCTGAGTTATTAAGCCAACTATCGGGCTAACCTCCCCGTGTCCACTTACTTCCACCCTTCGCTCCACGCCTGCTGCCTACCCTTATCTTTTTATTGGTTTTCTTTATTTTGTGGCAGCTTTGTCTAATTTATTCTAAAATATGGATATAGTTTAATCCTTTTCCCCCTCAATAGAGTTCATAGTTATTGCGCAATCTCAAATTACAAGGCATTCAACTACGTTAAACTTATTTCTTACAAGAAATTGGATACATATTAAAAACAAAAAAAAACAAAAAAAACAAAAATTTACCCTTCCGTCTTTTTCTCAAGTACTTTGGATGAACACACTAAAAGGGACTAATATGCAACCTCACATAAACATAAACTCCTGCCCTATCACCAAAAACCAGGGATTTTTTTTTTTTTTTTTTTTTGGCGGGGGCAAGCATCTCCTTAAACAAGATCCGTCAATTTATCACACGATATTCCTCCGCCAAGTCAACATTAAAAGACGGTAAGTTATGAGTGCATGGAACTTAACAACTTAAGAGCCAGTTCCTCTTGCTCTGCGACGGAAATCGAGTCTGCATGTAGAGTGATGTTATCCTTGCCTCTCTCCTTTGTTTCCGCATTATTGTCATCGCTATCAAAATATATTTTGACTTCTTGTTAGCCGGTCCCGACTTGCCTCTCCTTCTGAGCCAGAAAGATCCTCACTCTCCACACCGTCTTCTTCATTCCTTTCTCTCTTCCATTTCATCTTTTCTTTCATTCGCCTATCTTTGCGACGTTGACGGTCTAGAAGCTTGTCCTCCTCATCCTGCCGCCTTAGCTCTTCCCTCATCTCCTCATATCGTTTATTGACTGCCAGAGTTAAAGACTGATTAGAGCATAATAAAGCAGCTATGCTTTAGCATTTCTGCTATTTCTGGAGTGTAACCTTTTGTAAGCACACAGCGTTAATGGAAAGCATGCTCAACTATGCACACACAGCCAGTGGTTGGGATGTATTAGCATATTGCTATTTTTTTTCATCCAATGAAATAGTTAAATTTTTGGCACAGAATAAATTCAACACAAAAGAAGATATCATTCATTGTGATCTAGCCACAATTATGACTTGCTATTGAACACAGCCAAGACACAACTCCTGTAGGTTGTTGGATTTTAAAGGAATCTAATTACATGATATTAATTGCTCAGTTAAGGTCTCTTTTCTAAGGGCAAAACTAACAATTTTTTATTCAAGCAAAACCTTATCATAAATGCTTATTCATTCACCCAAGAAAAGAAAAGTTTACTTTGTCTTTGTCTAGCTGAATTGAGCCATTGCCGCTCTTCATATCTGCTAATGTTGCGAGTGGAGGCAGTGTGTTGCCTTCATCATCAAAAACAACTCTCGTTCCCACTGGTCTGTGCATATTTATCTTCAGTTTCTTTTTCTTCAAAACCCGTGTTGCTGGCCTGCAAAATCAATAGCATGGAAAGACCTACTCAATACCAACAACAAGAAAGAATATAGCACCAGTGGTTTCTCTCTCCTCTTTTCTTGATTTATTTGTTTATTTATATATATAATTAGCCAGTTTTTGACTTGTAAGTGGTTTTCCATTTTTCTTTTCCTAATTTTCATACTCCAATTCCTAAGTACAGATAAACGTTACCACTGTCCCTGTTATATGATACTGAAAGAACAAGTTCAATTACCAACATAGCAGAGTGCATTATGACATAATTTATAGGTTACAGAATTATGATAAAGCAAAAGAAGAATATGACATACACAACATCTATGATGCCTGTGGCTTTTCCCTGCTCTTCATGTGGCGTCTCAACTTTATCTTCTTCTACATTATTGGAGACTGAAACTTCCCTTCGAAGCTCTAATGTGTCCTCCTCATCATAATTTTCTTCTTGAAGATGAAGAGAAGATTCCCCTGGCATATTTTTGCCTTTAGTCTTCCGTTTCAAAAAACGGATTTTTGGAGTCATTGGCAGACCAATGATGCAGAAAATTCTTCAATGGGAAGTTTCATCACATCAAAAACCTCCTTATCTGTTGTATATGTACAGACCTCAAATAGGTGATGAAGGCTCTATAGCCAGATGCTGCAACTCTTTGTCCTTCACTAACAAAGCTGCCAATAACCCAGAAACTGGCTGAAGCCTTTTTGTGTTTGCCTGAAAGATCAAGTAGTTAAAAAATAAGGTTAGCATATTATTACAGCTGGACAAAACATGGGAGTATAAATGACCAAAAATTTTATAAGCAGCTCTCATATCACAACAGAGTGCATAAAGTAGATGACTCATATAGGTGAAGGAGAAACAGTTCTACCTTAATAAACTGAATGGGTATCTTCTTCTCCTGAAGTTTTTCAAGCATTTTCATTTCAGAGGGCATCAGGAATAGAACCGACCTCCCACACTAAGATAGCGTGCAGTACGTCCAACTCTATGTATATAAGATGCAACATCCTCTGGACAATCCACCTAAATATAGAAATGGAAGTAAAACAGACTAAAATCCGAATTTTAAGAAATATCACTTTTCTAAAATAACACAATAAGTCACCTGAACAACCAATCAACCGCCTTGTTGAAGTCAAGGCCTCTTGAGGCAACATCAGTTGAGAAAAGAACAGAACGTTGTTCACAAAACTGAGAATAGATTCCCATCCTTCTCTCCTGCTTCATTCTTCCATGAAGACATTTCAATGGAATTCCAGGTCGAAGCTTTTTGAAAGCTTCAAAGACAAATTTTACCTATTGCATTGAAAATAGAAGTGAACAAAGAAAAATTTTTATAGCAGCTAAGCATATGAAAATACATCAGAGCTAGTTGGGTTCTATACCACCTCTGGTAGGTATTTACATAGTTTACATGAATAAATAGCATGTTGAATTTACAAGAAAAATTGTGACATACTTTTCCAATGCAAGTTCAATCTAATAGCAGAAAACATTAAAATAGAATGTGATGCGTAAATTTGAATAAAACACTAAGCTTAGGTAAATTCAGTGGCAAAACAAGTTTACAGTCCTGAGATATAAATATTAACTCTAATGAATAGATTCCATGCAAACAGAGATCTTATCTCAAGGTAAGAACAGAGGATGCAGGATCACCTGTTTGCAGCTTGAAAGAAATACAAGTATCCTTGAACTAAGATGTGCCTTTATAAAACTCCACAACATGTCTAATTTTTGATCAAGTGGGACTTTATTGCTGTTTGATGCAATCTATTGGGCGTGGCCGTTACAGATTCCTCATGCACGCCAAGGTACTCTGGGTCCTTCAAACTGAGTCTTGCAAGATCCTGAACTGACTTGGTCTGAGTTGCTGAGAAAAGAAGGGTTTGCCTACGCTTTGGAATCTGTGATATTATTGCATTTAGTGTCTTTTTAAAACCCACATCAAGAATACGATCTGCCTCATCAAGGACCAGAACCTGAACCCTGGCCAGTAAAATACAACCAATCAGAGATATCACGAAAGAAAAATGTGTGCTCATTGCAGTATATGAATCATCAACTGCAACAAAGTATGCATCAAATTGGCAGTCTGAGCCAGAGTGTGTGGTAAACGGTAAAAACTTATAGAACTCTCATTATTCCTTAACTTCAGATCCTGGCTGCAAAGTACTCCAGCCTACATGGAAGCTTTGGGCCTCAAAGTCCATGTATTAGACAATCAAGTTATCCTACAATCTAGACTTGCTGCCATAACCTTATATAGCTAGGCATGAAGACTTCCCAACATCCTAATATACTATCCTAAAAAAATTTGACAACTAGAAGCAATAAAATAAAAATATACCAAACAAGGGAGAAGCCACAAAATATGATGGGGCAAGGAAGCAATTGAAAAGAAAACCAAATAAGTTATGTTGACCTGAAGCTGAGAACAATCAAAATTAGGAGTTTCATCCATGTGCTGAAGAAGCCTTCCAGGAGTGCAGATCAGGATATTCAGATCATTCACGTGCTCCTTCTCAGTGTCAACATCTTTCCGACCACAATTAAGAGGCCAGCACTAAAAGTGTGATGTTTCCCAACAGATTTCAATACTTCGAAAAGCTGGCAGGCTAACTCCCGCGTAGGAGATATTATAATACAGCCAACTCCATCCTCCGGACCCATCTTAATCTATATAACTTTTCCAGAACCTACAGAAAAACAAAGCATTAATGTGTCGGAAGTTCATATCTCATGATTCCATTAATACTTTCACAATAGATCCCCTCTCTCTCCTTTTTTTGGCCTACGAATCAAGGCAAATGAAATAGTAGGAGACGGACTCTCCAGTACACCATCACAAGTCCACAATGTACAAAAACAAAGCACCAAGTGATATAACGTATCACAATCCAAAATTTTATTCTGTGTATGTCCCTGTGTTTTCCCAATACAAGCTATAAATAACAAAATCAATTGCAATAAGTAGCTTAACAGAAATCAATTCGTAGTTAGGCCGCAAAAACACCAAATAACATTAAAGCTAACGAGGTTTCCGCATCATCTCGCATTAACTGACGAATCACAGATTCTTTCTTCTTCATCTGGATTTCTTTTTCCAGCAACAACTAACCCAATACTCAACAGTTTAACGCTCCGTTTGGTGTCCATTCTTTGCTAGCAACCAAACAAACGCCAAAACAAAAACCCAGAATTCTGGCAGAGATACTCACCGGTACGATGAATGCCAAGGTCTTGCCTGACCCAGTTTTAGCCGCCCCGAGGACATCACGGTCGCAGAGCGCATGAGGCAGCGAAGCCCTCTGAATCTCAGTCATTTTTGTGTATTTCGCTTCTCTCAGCCCATCCTTTGTCTTCTGAGAAAGAGGCATCTGATCGAATTTCCGGCAACCAGCGAAGGGAGAGAATGTGCCGTCGTCCAGTCGGCCTACCGGAGCGGAGGACGGCAATGGCGAGAATGATAGCGGGTTCGAACCGGATTCGGGCTTGCCGGATTCGATCCATGATTCGAGCAATTCAATCTCCCCAAGCTCCGCTTGCCGCTTGTGCTGGCGGAAATGCCTGGATTTGGGTCTTCTCATCCTCGATATTCCACGACGTCAGCTAGGGTTTTTCTAGGGTTTTCTGGAACTCACTGGCTTTGGGGCTTTATATTGTAGCGTAGGCGGCAAGAAGCTGGTTGTACGGAGCTACAGAGCAGGATGAAGACAGGAAGGCCCTAGGTTTAGCGGTTTTCACGAAAATACCCCGATTAATCTGTCTGTTGCACTCAAGCCCCTTCCTTCTAGCTTTACGAGCAAGCAAGATTAGCCAAAAGCATCAAGCTTTTACGGTTTCTCGTTTTTCTTTTCTTAACGGGTTTAAAATTTTTATTTACTAGCTTTTAATAATATAATCAATTAAAAAATATTACATAACTTGAAATAATTTCTAAAATTCTTATTAAATATTTAAATATATATTTTGTGACAATTTTAATTTCTTTTTTACTTTAAATTGATTGTTGTGCAAGAATATTGCATGCATGGTATCACCATTTCCTTTTTTCTCCCTTTCTTTTTTCCCTTCATTTATTGCAAAACTCCATGAATGCAGAGCTTTACCTACGAAGTTTTGCAAAAATTGATTTCCTAGTTGGAAATTTGGTACTCACAAAATTAATTTTTTTAAAAAAATTAGTCTCCTATAAACTAATTTCTCAATAGAAATCAAATTTTAAAAATTAATTTCTCAATAAAAATCGTCTATTAAGAATCAATTTCTGAACTAAAAAATATTAACATATTTTTTGTAAATAATTCTTTATCAACCCATTTCTGCAAATAAAAAAATTCATATGAAAATAAATTTAACCACAATTATAGTGTATTGTTATTAATTAAAAAAATATCTTGACAATTATAAAACAAAGATATTTATTATTTTTATTTTTATTTTTTGAAATATGGGAGAGACTTTAATTGCATCGCTAACATTATTAAAATTAGGTTTATAATATATCTATATTATCATGTACGCAAAAAAAAAAAAGTAATTAATTAGATTGTCAAAAATGAAAATATAAACAAGAAAATCGGGTGGAGGTTGGCGGATGGTGAATGAAATAGTCAAAATGAAGGGGTATCTAAGCAAAAACGCATTCTTAAATAAAGTTCAGAGGGCGCACACATGAGATCGTATTTTTGCTTTAAACTCCCACCTGCTCGTATCGCCTTCAAGCCGAAAAGCTCACACGCAGATCTCTTCTTCTGCAACCTGCGATTATAATTTCTGGCGTAGCATATAGTAAACGCAATTGCAATTATATATATACGGAGATAAATAGGTAGGTAGATAGATAGATAGATAGCAGAGAGAAGAAAGTGACGACGGTACTGTTTAACAGGGTTGACGGAGAGAGATGGGTCGCAGAAACAGAGCGTTCTCTAGAGAAGAAAGCACGGCTTCGGGTTCACTCAGCGATGCGTTACTGTTCACAACCATGTGCATCATTGGCCTCCCGGTCGATGTTCACGTTAGGGACGGTTCAGTTTATTCTGGAATATTCCATACAGCCTGTGTAGAAGACGATTATGGTGGGTTGGCTAATCGGCGGTTAGATTTCCTGTTTGCTCAATCAGTTGGATTTTCCTGAATAGCCTTTTCGGTTTGTTTAGCTGCATTGGGTTATTTATGGGTTTTGATTTTGTTGGTAAATCAGGGTGACTTTTTCATTTTGGTATTGGATCTATTTGCATTTTGATCTGGATTTTCTAGATTGTTGTGCTGGTTGATGATTAAATTAGAGAAGATAAGCAATTGATTTTAATTTAAGGTTATTCACATTTTGGGAATTCAGAGAGCATGTCCTTAGACTCGGCTGAGCCTAACGTTACCTATATGACTTGGCAAGAATTTGGATTGTATTGAAGCCCTCATTTCTCTTTCTCGTTTTCCTCGATAATCTAACATTAGACTGGTGCTTATCCCCTTGGTTCAAATTAACAATGTATTTTTATGGCCTGGCTGGTTTCAATTTTGATCTTATTTAAGACCCTTTGTTTTTATAGTCTCTCACCAAGCTAAAAATGTGGATGTACATCTTATGCTATTTGATAATATTAGTTGAGTTGTATGTGATAATTTTATTTATTGTTCAGGTATCATATTGAAGAAAGCAAGGCTGACTAAAAAGGGAAATTGTTATGTCAATGTCGCAAGTGGGGATGTAATAGAAACACTTGTAGTCCAATCAGAGGATCTTGTCCAAGTGGTTGCCAAGGCATGTCATTATATTTTTTGCTGTTTGATATGGTTCACTAATGTGATGTTAAGTTGATGGCCATTAATTTTTCTCTTTGGTGTTTAAATAGGGAGTCGCGCCTCCAGCAAATGGTATTACTGCTTGCAAGGTTACTGGTGATTATGGAGGGAAAATTGTGGACACTGTTCCTTCCTTGAGTGTGCAGACATGGAGGCTAAATTAAAACGTTCTGACAAGAACACTGTGGACAGAATGCAAACCAATAAAACAAGGTATTATAATGAAGAAATCTTCCCAATTTAATTGCCATTTTATTGTAGGCTATTAAGCTATACTTGAGATTCAATTGTTTGTTATCAGTCTATAAACCTTAAAACTATATGATCTGCTGCCCCTATATATTTCCTGCCTGATTATGTTAAGTGGTTCCATGTTGTGCCTTTCTAATCTTTTGCAACTTCATTATTCACGCCGCTTATGCCAAGTGATAAATCTAAAGGTGACAAAGTTTAAAGAGTGAAGCCCACTCAGGGAGAATTTAGATAAAGTTATAGAACATTCGTTAGAAATATCTGCGAAGGATAGTAGATTTCCAAGAAGATTGTGGAAGGATAATCAAGAGATAGTTGGCCTGAAACCACACAGGTAATATAGTTATTATTCATGTAAGGCTCAAGGGATGACAAGGTTCTTGAACCTTTGTAATGGTTACAAATAGCTTAAGGTGTTATTTTGACCTGATCAAAATTCAATGTCACACTTTCTATTCTTCTTTATCTTCTGTAGTTTTTTACCAATGTGGTTGATCACGAGGCTGATAATTGATTGCTGAAGGGTAATGAAGACATTCCTTTTGGAATACTGGGATCTGCAATCTCCTATGCCTGTTCTCCCCCATTAAGTTTCCTACAGCTTTTTACTAATACCCAAATCTACTACAACTTTTGGTTTCAATCAGATCTTAGAAAGAGCAGGCAGGTCATGAGAATTATGTTCTAAAGATTAAATTTTATTTCATTCAAATCAACATCCAGTTCATCTCTAAAAAACATTAGTCAGCTTCAAATTTTTTCCTAGTTTGTCAGCTGGTTGTGAATGATGCAAAGTTTCTTCTGTTTCTGTTCTGTGGCATTTGCTTCTGTGAAGTTAAAAGACCTGAATGTGTTATTAAACTGTCATATATCTTATGTTTCCATAGTACTATGAATGTCCATTGTTACTTTCTATCGAATAAATTTTTACTTTCTTCGTAAAAGCAGGAAAAAGCCCCAAATTGATAATGGGACAGCTCCTGAGGGTGCATCTACTATGGTGCACTGTGTAGGCAATGCTTTAGGAGTTGAAAATGGACAATCCAATGGCACGTGTCCTGCAAAGGTGAAGTTTTCTGGATTCATCAATATGTTGTGCTTTGTTTTGAATAAACTTTCCAGTATGTTGGAATGAGCTAACTGGTAATAGGGACATTATGCCCCTAAATTAGTTATCTATCAACTATAAACTGAGCTTAGAGAACCTTGTATTGGACAGTCGATAAATGACATTTGAGAGGAAGGTTTGGTTTAATGATAATTTAGTTGTCTTTCCTATTTGGCTAAATTAATTTAATGACGTTAATGGACTTGCACAAATGAATGTTTTATTAACTGGTGCACATCTTGCACTGGAGAAGAACATATTGCTAACACGTGTATGCTTGACTGCAATTGACACTTTTTGGCATTTGAGGACCTTGATTTACTTTGTGCTGGGTAGACCATTTCTTTGGAACATAGGTTGAGCTGCTGACTGAATATTTTAATTAGTGCGATGGGTTGGCTTTGGAACTAAGAGAAGGATGTGGTTTGGTGGCTGAGTTTTGTTATTCTTTGCATTTCTTTATCATGTTCTAGAAAGCAGTGGTGGGGAAGGGGGATTGGTTTTCCATTGTGATCCTGAATCTATTAAATGGCTTGAACCTTGATGATTATGTATACATTTGGCTTTGACCTTTGGATTACACAAATGCATTGCGCTGTTTGTATGCAATCACCTCTCTCATGTAATGGTGGACATGCAGTTAACATGTTGTAACTTGTGAATTTTTTTTCACTTATCATATTTTTTTCCTGTTTTCTCCAAATGCAGAAGGAAGAAGCATCAATCACTCTAGTTAATGGGAGGTATGCATTTCCAATAATGTCTATGGATTTTCCTTTTTTTTCCCCTTGTTAATAAGTAATATGTAGGACCCCCTAAATTATATTAACCAATATCTGCTTTTGGTTGGAATTGGTAACCCATGCTAGTAGGTAACAATTTTACTTCCAGCCTTGGTGTGGATATTGTCATCATTATTTGTAACAATGATATTTCTCTTGTCATTGCACTTGATTTGGCTAGATGATTTTGCCAACTTGAAGGGGTGCATTAGTTGCATGTCGTTTGCATCTCAATAAATATGTCATGTCTGAATTTTGGCTGAAATAATCTCAGACACATCTTTGTCTGAAACTGGCATGTAATATGTTTAGTAAAGATTCTTTCATATGCATGTTCATTTGTACTCTGTAATTTTGTCTGACAGACAGTTTGAAGATGGAACATCACAAGGGAAGAAACTTGATCACAAAGAAAAGTCTGACTTTCAAAAAAAAGAAACAGTATGTGGAGATAAGCATTCGTGGAATTAATTTTATGGGAATTGGGGATTATAATTCATTTTAAAGTCATTGATTCTTCTGACTTTTTATATATTGCATGTTTTTGCAGATACACGAAGTTCAAGGCTTAGGTTCAAGCTGTGAGTTCACTTCACCTCTTCTTTATTGATGGTTAAAATGATTCATGAAGTTTCTT